CCCCCGTCCGGGGACAGAGACCCTCCTGAGACCCCCCCGACAACCCCCCCCGGGCACCGGGACACCAAAAATCCCATCGCCGGCACGAACTGGGAGCTCTTAGGAGGGGAGCGGGATGAACTGGGAAAGGTCTGTGAGGGACCGGGAGCCCTTAGGAAGGGACTGGTGTGAACTGGGAGCCCTTAGAGGGGAGGACTGGGGGAACTGGGATAAACCGGGAGCTGTTACGAGGGGTTCGGCTCCTTCCGCAACTTGCGTAGCGCTGAGGGCAGCGGCGTTAGGAGGGAACTGGGATGAAGTGGGAGCCCTCCGGAAGGGACTGGGAAGTACTGGGATGAACTGGGAGCCCTCAGGAAGGGACTGGGAGGCACTGGGATGAACTGGGAGCCCTCAGGAAGGATCCGGGGCCCTTCCGCCATTTGCGTAGCGCTGAGGGCGGGGCGTTCGCGCCATTTGCCGGTCCTTACGCAGTTTGCGTAACCCCGCCCATTGCCATCCCTGGCTCCCCTTACGCCGTTTGCGTAGCGCTGAGGGCAGTGGAAGAGCCCCTTACGCCGTTTGCGTAGCGCTGAGAGCAGCGGCGCTAGGAGCGGACTGGGAGCCCTTAGGAGGGAACTGGGAGCTACTGGGAACCCTTAGGGAGGGACTGGAAGGTACTGGGATAAACTGGGAGCCCTTAGGGAGTTACTTGGATAAACTGGGAGCTCTTAGGAGGGGACCGGGTCCTTACGCCGGTTGCGTAGCGCTGAGGGCAGCGGCGTTAGGAGGGGACTGGGACGGACTGGAAGCCTTAGGAGGGAACTGGGATGATCTGGAAGCCCTTAGGGAGGGACTGGGATAAACTGGGAGCCCTTAGGGAGGGACTGGGATGATCCGGGAAAGCTCCGCGAGCCCTCAGGAAGCCACCGCGGCCCTCCCGCCATTTGCGTAGCGCTGAGGGCAGGGCCCTCCCTCCTTCGCGCCATTTGCGTAGCCCTACGCAATTTACGCAACCCCTTCCATTGCCGTTACCGGCGTTCCCCTTACGCCGTTTGCGTAGCACCGCCCCCCTTGCGCAATTTGCGTAGCACCGCCCCGTTGCCTCCCGCGGCGCCGCCTTACGCCGTTTGCGTATCCCTGCGCCGTTTGCGCAGCGCGGCGGGGGCGGGCCCGTATCCCTGCGCCGCCGCCGCCGCCGCCGAAGCCTCCGGTCCCGGCCCGGTCCCGGTCCCGGTTCGGCCCCGACCAGGCCCCGGCCCCCGGCGCCGGCCCCGACCCGGCCATGAAGTTCCTGTACAAGGAGGAGCATCCGTTCGAGAAGCGCCGCTGCGAAGGCGAGAAGATCCGCAAGAAGTACCCGGACCGAGTCCCGGTGAGGGCGGGGCGGGCGGGGAGCGACCCCCCCCTTCCCTCACAACCCACCCCCCCCCACCGGTGTGGGGAACCCCCTGGGATACCCCCTCGGATTACCACACCTGGGAAACCCCCGCGCGAAAATCAGCGCATCGTCGGGCGAAAACCTTGGAAGCGCTGTGAGCCCCCCCGGGGTGGGAAACCGGAAGCGTCCGGGGACCCCCCCCCGGAACGGAGCGAGACCCCAATTTGGGGACACCTCCCTTTGGGGACCCCCCCCTTTGGGGACCCCCCGGCATCGGTCAGAGACCCCCCCCGGGACCCCCCCCCGCGCTTACCCGGGGACCACCGGGGGAACCCCCAAAGGAACCCGAATGGACCGAATACCCCCCGGGACCCCCATCAGGAACCCCCTGGGGACCCCCCAAAGTGTCTCCGGACCCCCCCGGGACCCTCCCCGCAGTCGAAAAAGAACCCCCCAGGAAACACCTTAGGACCCCCAATTGGCGACCCCCCCTTGGGGACCCCCCCGGGATCGACCAAGAACCCCCCCCGGGACCCCCCTTGGGGACCCCCTGGAACCGTTTGGGGAACCCCCAAAAAACCCACCCTGGGACCCCCCAGAGAATCCTCAACCCCCCCCCAATAAACCCTCCTGGGACCCCCAAGACCCCCCTGAGATCCCCAAAACCACCCCAGGCCCCCCCGAAATCCATCTGGGACCCCCCTGGAGCCCCCCCAAACCCATCCCAGGACCCCCAAAACCCCCCTGGAACCCCCAAAACAACCCCCTGGTGACCCCCCCCAAACCCTCTGAGACCCCCAAAACCACCCCAAGGAGCCTCAAAATCCCCTCTGGGACCCCCAACCCCCCCCTTGGGACCCCCAAAACCACCCCAAGGAGCCTCAAAATCCCCTCTGGGACCCCCAAACCCCCCCGGGACCCCCCAAATCCCCCCCTTTTTCCTCCAGGTGATCGTGGAAAAGGCGCCCAAGGCCCGAATTGGGGACCTGGACAAGAAGAAATATTTGGTGCCCTCGGACCTCACAGGTTTGGGGGGGTCCTGGGGGGCTTTGGGGGGGTCCTGGGTAGGATTTGGGGGGTCCTGGGACCACCTGTGCAAAAAAAAGTGGGGTTTTTTTGGGGTGAATAAACCCCAAAACGGAGATAAACCCAAAAAACCTTAAAATTGGGGGGCCAGACCCCCCCAAAAAGACCCCCCAGGATTGGGGTCCAGCCCCAAAGACCCCCCAAATGGGGGGGTCCAGGCCCAAATAAAGCCCCAAACCAGGATAAAAACCCCCCCAAAATTTGGGGTTCAGACCCTCAGACCCTCCAAAATGGGGTCAAACCCCCTCCCCCCAAAAAAAAATTGGGATCCAGCCCTTCAGAGCCCTCCAAAAACCCCCAAAATTGGGGTCCAACCCCCTCAAAATTGGGGTCCAACCCCCCAAAGCCCCCTAAAATTGGGGTCCAACCCCCCTAAATTGGGGTCCAACCCCCCAAAGCCCCCCAAAATTGGGATCCAACCCCCCCAAAATTGGGGTCCAGCCCCTCAGACCGCTCCAAAGACCCCCCCAAAATTGGGGATTCCACTCAGTGCCCTCGGACCCGGCGGGTTTGGGGGGGTCCTGGGAGGTCTGGGGGGGGTCCTGGGGGGTCTCAGGAGGGTCTGGGGGGTCTCAAGGGGGTCTGGGGGGATTCAGGGGGGTCCAGGGGGGTCTCTGAGTGTTTCCCCCCCCAAAGTGGGGCAGTTTTAGTTCCTGACCCCAAAAAAGGCTCCACTTGGTGCCCTCGGACCTGGCGGGTTTGGGGGGGTCTGGGGGGTCTCAGGGGGGTCTGGGGGGGTCCGGGGGGGTCTCTGAGTGTCCCCCCCCCCCAAAGTGGGGCAGTTTTATTTCCTGATCAGGAAGAGGATCCACCTGAGGGCCGAGGACGCCCTTTTCTTCTTCGTCAACAACGTGATCCCCCCCACCAGCGCCACCATGGGGCAGCTCTACCAGGTCGGGGGGGGGGCAAAAATACCCCGGGGGGGGGTAAAAAGTGATAGGGGGGCCAAAAAAAAGGGGGGAAGGAAAAAGGGTGAAAAAGGGGGGAAAAGGGGGGGGGAAAAGGGGGGGAAAAAGGTGGGAAAGGAGGGGGGGGAAAAGGTCCGGGGGGGGGTAAAAAATATTGTGAGGGGGGTAAAAATTAAAGGGGGGGTTTAAAGTTATGAAGGGGAAGAAAAAAAGTGGGAAAGGGGGGGGAAAAAGGTGGGAAAGGGGGGGGGAAAAGTGCCCCGGGGGGTAAAAAATATTGGGAGGGGGCCCCAAAATATTGGGGGTGGTCGCTGGGGGGGGGGGTTGATCTTGGGGACCCCCCAGGACATTATTTTTGGGAGGGGGACCTTGAGGGGGTTTCTCCATCCCAGGGATCCCCCAGAACTTTTGGGGGGGTCCTTGGTGGTCTCGGGGGGGGATTTTAAGACCCTCCAGGACCTTTATTTTTGGGGTGGGGGTGTTATTTCACCCCTGGAGACCCTTTTGGGTGGGTGAGGGGTGTTTGGGGGGGGGGTTATTGATCCCAGGGCCCCCTCCCTTTATTCCAGGGGGGGTCTGGGGGTTTGAAGACCCCCCCAAATCCCCCCTTTTCCTTCCCCCCCCCCCCCCCCCCCCAGGAACACCACGAGGAGGATTTCTTCCTGTACATCGCCTACAGCGACGAGAGCGTCTACGGGGCCTGACGCCCCCTCCCCAAACCCCTTCCCCCCCCCTCAAAAAAAAACCCCTCCCCGACCCCTCCAATTCCCCCCTAAAACTCCCTTTTTCCCCCCTCCCTCCCCCTTCGCGACCCCTCCCCAAAATAAACGAGACGGAGCCGCCTCAGCGCGCCGGAAGTGGGCGTGGTTTGTGCTGCGGCGCATGCGCGGCGCGGCGCGGTTGGGCGTGGTTTGTGCGGCTGCGCGACGCGGTTGGGCGTGGTTTATGTAATTGCGCATGCGCGGCGCGACGGGGAGAAAGGGCGTGGTTTGAGAAGCGCATGCGCGATGTGGGTTTTTAAGCCAGGAGCGGGGGCGTGGTTTAAAGGCGCGGGAGGAGGGGCCGCGCGTGCGCCGTTGGGAGAAGTGGGCGGGGTTTTAGCGGGGGAGTGGGCGGGGCGGGACGAGGCGGCACCGGACGGAGCCACCACGGAGGGAAAGGCGGGGGGGGGAGGGAGGGAGGGAGGGTTGGGGGTGGAAACCAAAAC